TCTGAGCTTATGCTGCTTTGCTGCAGGGATGAGGGTCTCCTGTATTTCTCTTGCCACATCTGCAGTGCTGTGCAGAGCATCTGAATATGCCCTAGGTGTCTTGGTGACCAAATGGGGCCCCAGCAATACAACAGCTGATAGATATAAATCTCTGTCTTGCTTTATGCAGCACTGTACAGATTTCTTGCATTCCTTTGCAATTATTTAGCTGAATCAGACAAAGTGTATTTTGTTGTGGTTTTGAAGACCCTGCAACATTTGTAGCTCTGCTTACCTATATCCACATGACCGGTAAATGAGCCAACTCAAAGAAATAAAGACAAGGACATTTTGGACTTTTATTTTCAGAATTAGAGCATATGCTTGTCTCCCATAAGGAGACACTGCCTCTAGGAAAGAGGCGTCAGTCATTGAGCTGGAATGTCTCTTGAGGCAAATTCTTTATACACAGGCTTCACGTATCTAACTTAGCTCCTGTGCTTTTAAAGTGGAGTTGACGGTTGCTTACTTTCTAATATGCTGGAAGGATTAATTACACTATATGAGGGATTTAAAAATTTTTACCTTAAGTTATAGATATTACTATTACCAGATTAAGCTATAATTCCTGGTACTTAATTTCCTTTTCAATTAATGTTTAAACAGAAGTAGCCCTGTTCTAAGAATTTAGCTAAGAAACATTATTGCTTTGCTGAAAAAAATATTAAGCGAGAAGAGCATCTGGAGAAAAAACCCCACGTTCAGAGGAACATGTTTTGCATTTTGTTAGTCACAGCCCAAACTTGTCTTGCTTTCAAAAAGGCAGATAATGTATTTAGTGCACTTGCCAGTTAAAAATTGCAATTTTATGATAGTTCTTATCATCTTGACTAGTTTGGTCATGCTCTTCTGAGTATCTTCAATTAATAACACTGTCCTCTGCAGATTCTGAGACAGGGAATTAATTACACTCAGTTTGGAGGATGTCTTCTTTGTTATTGGCAGTCAGGTGGGAGGGAATGTGTGATTAAGTGAAAATCAGTCTGACTATTGGTGCAATGCAGAAAGAATACACATTTTGATGAAACAGTGTTTTCTAATATGCAGAAAATATTATCTATTTCACAGCTCAGGTCTGTAGTGGATATTTCATTAAATTCAACCAGTCCAGGGCTTTTAGTCTGTGCTTTCCATGGTGAAATATACTAAATGACAAAACCAGAATAGATTGGCACTATAGGGATTGCAATTTTGCTTATCCTTTTGAATAAAATCCCTCAAAATATTCTTTTCTTGTTGGAAATGTCCTTTCTAGAAAAAAGAAAAAGAAAAGAAAAGAAAAAAGAAAAAAAAAAAAAGAAAGAAAAAAATGTCTGAAAAACTAATTCTGAATATACTAATTCTAAATATATATAGCATCTGGTGGGCTTTATGAATATGCCATGCGAAGCTTTTGATATTATAATGGAATAATAAATTGGTTAGTCGACTGAGTCTTCTTGGATGAGTGAGCCAAATCAGCGTGACCTGGCATGACATGACTGTCACATCCCAGTCATACACAACCCAGGCCCAGCTGAGGGGATGGGACCTATAGAGATGTGGAAATGTGATGCAAGGCTTTCTCACTCAGTAGCAGCCAAATGCTGCCCTTGTGCTGCCTTAGCCTTAGTTTCAAAGTGGTTGATAAGACGCTGCAGTCATATTACACCATCATGTCTAACGCAACATGTCATAAAAGGTCAGAGGGTCCCAAACTATATGAGTTGCTACCTAAAAAGTTTTGCAGATCCAAGATGGAGGGCTAGATAAAAACACAGTTTTTTGAAAATGTTCATTGCTCTCAGTCACCTCAAGGATCTTACATTGTATTGCATTCGAAACAAAAGCTACTGCTAACACATGTATTACCTGTTGCCATAGGAGGCTATTACAATAAAAGTGTTCCTGAAACTGAAATAGGAGAAACTTTCTGTGGGATGACCTAGAAAACCTCTTCAGAAATAATTACTGTAACAGGGTTAGCACTGTAAAAAAATGTATCAACTGTTCTGATTTTCAAAGGTCGTGTTGCTCTGAAGTAAATTTCACTGCAGGTCAGACGTTCACATCCTAGGGGTGTTTAGAAAACTAATGTTTGAGCAAGCAAGCATGCACTTGCTGTACACAAAGGCAAGATCAAAGCCACATGAAACAACCCACACATTTTTTAACATAGACGACAAAGTATTAGTTCAACCTTGCTGAAACTGGAGATTAACCCCACAGCACTTCAGACCAGGAGCAGGAGTGTGAAACACCAGTCATTCTGCTGTCTTTGTTTGTGGCACAGATATATGTGATGCTAGGCATCCCTTTTCAAATGAGTGAAGATAAAGATTCTCTGTATGAAAATACCCGGTGGGGATCTGCATCTCAGTTAGAGGATGAAAACTTCAACTTTCTTCCATTAGCAAAATCCTTGGTCACGTTTCACTTGGAAAGGATGAAGGAAATGTTACAGCAGGATAAACATACATCATGAACAGAATAGAGAGAGAGACTTTTTACAAGGGTATGCAGTAATAGGGTGAGCAATAACTGTTTTAAACTGGAAGAGAGGAGATTTAGATTAGATGTTAGGAGGAAATTCTTCACTCAGAGGGCAGTGAGGTGCTGGCACAGCTGTCCAGAGAGGCTGTGCCCCCCCCCTGGAGGCGGTCAAGGCCAGGTTGGATGGGGCACTGGGCAGCCTGAGCTGGTGGGAAGAAGCCCTGCCTGGGGCATGGAGCAGGTAAAAGGTTGGAACTCAAAAATCTTTGAGGTCACTTCCAACCCAAACTATTCTGTGATTCCATAACCAGAAAAGGTGTTGCAAAATGGCTAACTGGATAATTATTCTTTGTGCATGTTTGCCAGAGAAAAAGATAAAACCGCGCTCTTCCTCTTGAATTGATGATGAGAAACAGTTTCAAAGCCACAGTCCATTTGACTTGAAAACTGCATGTGAGAGCAGAATGAAAAGGACCATTCAGCTGTTGAGGGTATTTTCCCCTTTTTATCTGCTTGAATTACTTAAAGAAGATTCTATCTTATCCAGTTCACGGTAGCATGTAGGATAGTACAGTATTGCTTTCACCATGAAAGATTCAGGAAATCTTTTCAATTAAAAAGTTTTTTCTAGTAGAGTTGAACAGGAGATTGTGCAAGAAAGCCATGTTCCAGCATTTCTCCATTTAGACTTGCCTGTCTGTAGGAAAAAGCAGCTGATATTTTGCCACTTGCTTCTGTCAGAAATAGCTATTTAAAGTGCTTACAAATTCAGAGACTTAAAATTTAATCTTGAATTTTATTAAAGAATAATTTCCACCATTTCTGAGGTTTCAACTAGGTTTTCTGCACAGTTCACATTCAGCTTAATTCTCAAAAAAGATATTTTTTTTTTTCTGGAGCAGATAAGTTGTGGCTTATAGCTCTGTCACTTTCTTGTTTATGTTCTGGAAGGGAATAGAAGATCACTGCTGATTTATTTGTGGATGTCACAAGCTGTTGCTGAAAAAGTAAATGATGTCTGGGACAGGGTGTCTGTACAGTCTCATATGGATAAGCAGGACATATCGATGTTTTAATATGAAGTAGAATCAGATTATGCTCCTAACAAGAATCACCAAATATATTACAAAGGAAAATCCTAGATCTTGTACCTCTGATACCTATAATTTAGGTATTAATCCTTCTTTTTATAAGAAATGTTTTAGACGAAACACAGGTTGTTTAATAACCTGGAACAATCATTTAGCTTTACATAATGAGTTTACAGTTTCAGCCTTGAGTTCTAAAGCCAAGGCGAAGAATACCATTTTGTTGGCTTGTAAGCTGTTTGCTCTGCTCATCTGTGGATGTGAGCTGTACGAAATCTTAGTCAACTTCTGTTCATCAGCTTCTCAGGAAGGTTATAATGGCACTGAACATCCTTACTTTTTTCCTTCAAACGATTGAATTTTGTCGTGTCTACTTTCCTCTCATGGTTAATTATTACATAATATGCTCTGTATTATCACTATAAATACTTGGTAACAAAGGTAGAGAGCATATTAAACACATTTAGTGTTCATTTTGTCATTAAATGCTATGAACAACTGGGGATTTGTAAATATTAATGTCACTGCTTACATCAAAATGTGTTTAAATATTTCTAATTATTTACTCTATTTTTTATAAATAATGCTTACAGATTGCATAGGTGGTGCAAATACTTCCTCGTCAATTTCTTGAGATAAGTGTAATTTGCATGCTAAATATGGATCTTAAGATATAAAGCCACGAATTCTTGACTTTTTTTTCTTCAGTGACATGAAATTTGAGGGGAAAGAAATAAAAGGAAGTTGTGGAAGTGTCCAATTCGCTAACTTGGAAGTATATGTTCAGATAGTTTCTGAATGAATAATCAGCTTTTATATCCTTAGGAATCTCCTGTAAAATCCAAAGGATATTTTTTGTCATGACCATTCTAATGCCTGTTGTCAACAGGAGTGAACGCTTTTCATTTATTCTTCAAGACCTTGATAGTACTCAAAAAAATAAATCAAAACATGCTCAAAAAGCACTCTGAAGACTGAATTAAAGTATTAATCAGTCTGTTTAAACTTACACAGGATCAGATATTACTCAGGTCTGCATTTTAGCAGTACATTAATGTGTATTAGCAGGTTATGATCTGATGAAAAGCAAATATGATACGATTTTAGCGGTAAAGATTGTGGTGGTCTTAAGCAAATATTTGAAGATAGCACGTTATATTAATTGGGAAATGAATTTGAGATCACTTTAGCTAAAAAATTGAAATGTTTCTATTAATTTTCCATTCCCTTCAGCTTTGAAAAGTAAGTGGTAAAAAGAACTCTGAAACTGGCAAACTCTTTGGAAACCATTCTGATCATTTTAATAGCCTTCAGTCTAGGACACATTGCACGTACTTTGTGGGTCTTTGGTTTCATACCTATTACATCTGCTATAAGATAAACTATCTTGCTTTGTTTTAGAACTGAAACATGAGATCTATGTTTGGAGGTTGACTGCTCAGCGCATTAACCCTGCCAGCAGGGAAGAAACTGCCGTGAAATGCCTCTTGATGCAGAAGGTGCTGACTCTGGAGATACTCCTGAGGAAGAAGCTCAGGACATTCCACAAGTGAGTGGTGCTGGCATGTGCCACCTCCTTTCTTCCACCCTTGGCAGGATGAGCTGCAGGCATAGGCACTTTGTTGGACTGACATGAAGCTCCTGCTCATCTCAGTTTGCAGTTGGAAAGATATTCTAGTTTTGCTACTATCTTCACTGACCTGAGACCTACGTTCTCAGCTATTTCTTGATTACAGGATCACAGAATGGCCAGGGTTGGAAGGGACCTCAAGATCATGAATCTCCACCCCCCTGCCACATGCAGGGCCACCAACCTCCACATTCAATACTAGACCAGGCTGCCCAGGGCCCCATCCAACCTGGCCTTGAACACCTCCAGGGACGGGGCATCCACAACCTCTCTGGGCAGCCTGTTCCAGCACCTCACCACTCTGTAAAGAACTTCCCCTTGACTTCCAACCTAAATCTTCCCTCCCTCAACTCCAAACCATTTCCCCTTGTCCTGCTGTTATCTACTGTTTCAAAGAGTTGAAAGAGTTGAGCAGATACGAAGAACCATGGAAGCTCAGCTTCAGCGATACACCAAGTACTTTAGGACAAAACTAATGTATAAGGTCTGGAAAACATACTGTGAATAAAGAAAAATTTGACGACGCAGAAATTCCAGGTAGCTTTTGTTTTAAAAGATCACAAATATATCATTAGGCTTTTTCTTGCAGTAATAGCTTCAATGTAGTAAAATGCTGTAAATTTTTCCCTGATGAAAAATTCAGATGTTCTTCAGTGAACTACTGAATTTTCAAAACAGCGATTTACTACTTTTTAAAGTAATCAAGTCTTCAGTGCGGATTTGAGTATATTCATAATTAACTAGGTATGTATAGAAAAGGAGAAGTTTTTATAAACTAAGACTAACAGAAAATTAACCTTATTTTTGTTTAGGTTCCTGCAAAACCAGCTGTTAATGTAGGAAATTTGATGTTTGAGAATAGTAATATAAGTACTGTGACAGTGAATTTTCTTATTTTCAGAAATAAACTTCTTAATTCAATAAATGATGCAAGCATAAATTATTCCACTAATAAGATAATTTTTCCTTATATTTTCCTATAATATTTTCCTTTAATTTTTTTCCCCGTATTGTGCACTTTAAATAAAGTGACATAAAAAGTCTTTTTAAAAGATTGTGACATTATTAGAGTTCACAACACCTTAAAGAAAATAATTCTCAAGTATATAAAAAATCGTACATTCAGTTTTGAAAATGAGGATTCCTTCAGCACAAGTACACTGACAGTGATGTAGAAATTCATTAACGTTAGCAGCAGAGCTCCTGAACTGCAAACCCCGAGGCTTTTTTTTGCTGCAGGGCTGACTATGCTGATAACAGAAAGAAGTAACTTATTCAGATCTTAAAACTTCATTATAAAATGCAAATGTAACACATGTTCTGACTTGTTGGTGTTAGCACATGACCCTTGCTTTATCACAGAATGGCACACGTTACCTCCTGAAACTACAAATGGAACGTATAGCCAGCTCCTATATCCAGGTTCGTACTCCGGATGCTTGCAGTTTCCAAGTCGGTGGCACTCTTCATGAACCAAACTGTGTACTGGTAGTATGTATTAGGAAAGTGGGGTCTTAAGTAAATTGTCATGGGAATTTTGCTACTGAACATAAGGCAGCCATGGTTCCTCTGTAGTAAGAGTTACTCCTTAAAGGGGAAAGAATGATCTGGATGTGATGAGAGAGATTTATTCCAATACTGTTTGGCAGGGCTCTCATTTCATTCTGGAAAAAAAGCAGGTGTCATTTTCTTTCAGGCAAATTTCACAAGAAGATAAAAACTGGGAAACAAATATTCAGGAACTCCAGAAAAAAGTAAGTAGATGGCAGTTGTTCTTAATATAAATGTAAGTAGACCTATGGCTTTTTATGAGGAAAATCCTTTGAATCCAATGAAAATTTAATAAGTCTCGTGGAGAAGAAAAGCTGGCAGGCAGACTGGCTGGCTTCTCATCAGGATGGATATACTGAACTACATTGTATGAGTTAGGTTTTATACGTGTTCTTTAGAAAAGAGTTGTTTAAAGGATCAATAAATGATTCAGCAATGTTCTCTTAAAATTTTAATCCACCATGGCCAGAAAGTCTTAGAAGGTGTCAATAGGTTGTTTATAACCACAATGCATGATGACAGAGTAATACCAACTCTAATTTACTACACTATCTGTAACACATCTGCTATGTTATTTAAGTAGGGATAAACCACTTGCATAAATCCTGTTTTCTTTGCTGTGCACATATTAACACTGCCTAGATCTTTATGCTGAAGCTGAACCTGACAGGATGTATACCCTATAGTAGGATTAATTTCATCTTCATTAGCCTAATCATCACATCCTTTCCACATTGCTGGCACTAATGAGTACAGGCGTGTAATTGGGAGCTCAAATCCTTGGCTGGGAGCACTCTGTTCTATATGTCATACCAAAACAGAACAAAACCAACTGGATTTTCTGTTTGGTTTTAGGCCTTTTCCAAAGCATTGTATAAATGATGAACTTTTAAAAGAAGGGAGATTTGATTATACTTTGGTAGATTTCTAAACTGTGTAGAAGAGACTAGCAATGAGAGAGGTACTCAGTCCCTGGGTTGCTGGTGAAGGTGATTTCAGAGCAGAGAAGCAACAGCACAATGGAAAGAATTTAGGTATGAGAATGAGAGCATGAGGAGCTGGTCTGTGCTACAGGAGCTCTATAAAGATTAGGGGCATGGCATGTCTTTGAAAGTTGTATGTGATGTATGAAGAATCTGGCCATTAGGTTAGGTTATAGGTTTTCATAGTATAATCACAATAAAGGATGATTTTGTTCAAATTTGAGAAACCACAGAGCACCTGAAGTTCCCTCTATAATAAAAATTGCCTTTCAACTATACTTGCACAACTGTGTTTTATCTGCTGTCTTCATGTTGGGTCTCTCTTACTACGTGATCATGTTTTCTATAGGGAAACATGAAATATTTCATTTTAAATATTTATGTATTTTATGCTGAAGAAGAATATACAATACAGGAACAGCTTTTTCTATTTCACACGTTTTTATTTTTTATGGTTTTTTTTATGTTGTATTTTTTATGTTGTATTTTATATAATTTTTATTTTTAATTCTGTGCACAATACGTAGTTCCTTCTTTAACTCAATTATCCAATTCTTTTTCCCCTCTGCAGCACAGAATAACAGACAAAATCCTTCTCGTCAAATGCCTTACTGTGCTGGGATGTGTTATTCTGATGTTTTTTCTCAACTCATTTGTTGCAGGTGTCTACTTAGATCTTGGTAAGTTTCAAAGTTTTATTCTATTTTATAATAATAATAATAATAATAATAATAATAATAATAATAATAATAATAATAATAAAACAGCTAACTGAACGTAGCATTTTTCTGAGTCTATTCAGAAAACCCATGTTTTTGTAAGTTCCTGACCTTACAATTTCACCGGGTTAATCAGAACAGCAGTTTCTCAGAACAGGTTTTTGAAATGCAGTCATGACTCAGTCACCCCAGGAGGAATAGCAGGTAGAGCTCTTAACTTCATCTTTTTCTGACTTCCCAATATTAACTAGGTGGATAAACATTACAGAATGAGCAAATTTGACCTTACCATGATTTCAGTGTAGCCTTGAATAAATGACCAAGATTCATTACAGAGATCAGAAAGTAATTACTCTGTGCAAGAACATTTAAGTAGTCTAGCATAATTTCGTGAGTAAAGATAGCTCTGCATATAACTTCAAGTTACCATTATGTTATCATCAAAATAAATTATTTCCCAAAATAAAATCTAGAAGACACTGCACATGATTGAAATAAAAATAACTACATTCAGTGCCTAGACCTGTCTGTGCAGGTCTTTATACAGTTATTATGTCTAAATCCCTATAAGGACATTCTTGAAATGTCCCAAAAATAGAACAAAATTAAAACTCATGTTTAACTGAAGTGCAGTTATAAAACCTGCCTGTAACATGAAAAGTTAATGATATTTTTTTGGGCTGTGGAGTGTTTGGAAGTTATGGAATTTCAAATTTATGTTTTCTCTTGTTCATCTGAATCCCTTCACTGTGTATGTCCAGTGAAAAAAAAAAAAAAAAAAAAGCAATAGATTTAAGGATGAATAACTCATAAGGAGTAAGTCACTGGCTGAATTATAATGTGCATTTTGGTTATGCACAGTATACAGCTAGTTCTGACTGTAGAGTGGTGATCAGGTTGGAAACAACACCTTCCGCCCCTGTTGCTACTACTTCAGCTATATTAACTGGCTTAGTAAGCTACCAGTAGCCAAAGGTGGCTCTTCTGTTTGCTTGGACCCAGGGAAACACCGGAGTTGGTGTTATTGGCATCAGTGGGGGGATGTGAGTTACTGTATCTGGAGCAATGTGTTTTTAAATAAGTACAGCTATGCTGCTAAACACATTTATTCCAAGGACTGAGCTACAGCCCTTGGACCTAGGCTGCAGGATGTCTGTGTCCATGCTGCTCAGACCTCATCTCTGCAGAGCAGTCTGGCACTGCAACCGGCCCTGTGCTTCCTTGTGACATTGTAAATAGTTTTGTACGCATGGGATTATTAAGTTGCCAGTTCACTTCAAGGGCAGTTTTGTAGCCTAATAAAATTGTTCTAAGTCCACAATACTGAGGACATATGGTGTATTATCCTGTGTTTGTTATGGGGTTTCAGTGCATAAACTTGTCTGAGTTAATGTTGCAGTAACTGCACAGAGCACAGACCTAAACGTGACTCACCCTTGTTTCTGTTTGAGTGTGATTCCTGCAACAAATTGCCTTCAGAAGTACTTATTTTTGTTTGAGATGAAACAAGCTGGGTCAGTCCAAGACAGGGGTCTGAGTTATAAGCAATACTTACACAAGGGGGATTGTGGGACACTGGGACCTCACTGTGGGCTTGGACTATGAGGTTTCATGACAGTGCTTCTGTGCAGCAGAAGTGTGGTGCCTGGAGCAATATGAGCTTAGGAGAGGGGACACTGTTTCAGCCAGTGGCACCAGTGACCCTGCTATGGTGGCTTTCCTCCTGCTTTCCTCTTCCAGAGTATCTGCTGTGATAGAAATGGATAATTCAGTAAAGAATACTGGTTGTTAAGAAGTTAAAAGGCATGCTGATGCGTTATAGCCACAAAAGTGCAATGTTACTATAGCATAGGAAGAAACAGAAATTGAAGACACAGAGATTTGAAGTCACTGTGGCTAAGAGCGTAACTGAAGAGTTCCCACCAGCAATTTAAGAAATCAATTTTCACTCTTACTTTTCTGCCTCAGATAAGTGAGCACTGAACCATATAAGATTTTGTGAATAAACCCAAAATCTAAGTGTTTTTGAAAACCCACATGCAGTCAGTAAAGACCACATAGCATTGATTGCATGTGCAGCTAGTAAGATATTCTTTCAAGACTGTAAGGTAATTGGAGTACTAGAAGAAATCTAGTAACAGAAGAGTGGTTTTTTCTTCTACTTCATGTCAGTAAAATAAGTGCAAGATAGTGACATGGTTGGCAGTGCAGGGTTTTGTAATTCACTACCCAATCTTCTGCTGCAATCTTGAAAGTAAACATGGGCTGTATGTGTTATTTAGTTTCTATCTGTTCTGTATTCATAGTAAATCCATCAGATTAGTAAATAAATGTTATTAAATCATATACATAATTCTATTAACACTTAATGGAACCTGTAGACTTCTACTGAGATCTCACTGATGACTCCTGAGTTCCATGGTCTTGATGCTTGCTGTCACTTACTTATCATTACTGAAGTAGTACTGCTGTGGGTTGCTATGGATTTTAGTCCTCCAGTGGATGGAAATAAATTTCCTAAAATACAGCACATCTTGTACTCTGGTGCTTTGGCTATATTTGTTCAGTAAGTTTTTGCATAAAAATGAAAGTAGATTGTAATTCAGTGTTTAATTTCCTACTAGAATAATGTTTTATACAGAGGCTTAAGTGTTAGAAATTTAATAACTTTTAATTGCATTTGGTAGAGTGAATTAGAAAGATTATAGAATTCTTTATCAGTCCCCAGCCTTGATACAATTTTTCCATAATGAACCTGGAATCATTGATATAATTTGAGGGAATTGACATTTTAATTTAACTAATAAATTTGCATACTTAACTGTCTTAAAATGCAGAACACTTTCCTATTCAGTTTTCTTGTACCTGTTCATCTGTAGCCTAATCCTATGAAATGCCTATGTTAGTGAAAAGCTAATAATGAGACTTCAAACAGATAGACATGGCAAACTTCAGACTTCTAGAGTGCTTTCATTCAGCCACTATAGGATATTACTTTATTGATAAAGCACTGATAAAGCTTCTGAGGAATCTTGCTTCCTTCTGCCTCTGGATCCTCTCCTCTCAGGGTCACGTCTGTCATTTCTGAGTCAGGGAAAAATCCTCTCCTGCTTTTAGAGAGCTGCAGCAGATTTTGCTTTCTTCTTCAAGAAACAAAGTGTAAACTCAAGAGCAAACAAATCAGATACTGATGGTTTCAGGATAGATACTGTTACTGACTCGGCTGCAGACTGTTGGAAGACAGGAAGTCACACCAGGAGAAATATAGCTACATGTTTGCCTAATTTGTACAACTTGTATCTTACATTGTTGAAACATTTAAAATCTGTGACTGAAATAGTGGAAAAGAAGGGTTTTCATTTAAGCTGACTGGTTTTTGTTTGGGAGGCCATGTTTTGCAGAGCCCTTTTTGATTTTATTATCAGCGCATTCAAGAAGAAATGTTTTCAATCTCTATAGATACAAAAGACTCCTGTTGTCTTGTCACTCCTTTGGATGCCAGTCATTGTATTTTCTGACTAATTTCTGTAATGTACTGAAAATTTGTTGAAATTTACAGGCACTGAGTGAGTGAAGGAAAGCCCTCCATTGCCCTAAAGAGCTTCTTAAACTTGCTTAAATTTGCTGTTGAATCACTGTCAGAAGTTCTGCGCCAATATGTACTTGGCTTACAACAACCAAATCAGGTTTTCCACTACTGCATCCTGCTGAGATTTTAACAGCTCCCTCCATTTTCTTTTCTGCAACATTTTGAATAAGTGGTACAAGGACTTTGCTGTAGAAGTGATTCTTCCTTAACAGCTTTGAGGTAGATTGCCTGTATATGTTAGAGTTAGTCATTCTCTAACCAATACCAGAAGCCTTAAGCTTAGAGATCTTTCTATGAGTTGAAAAACAAACAAACAAACAAACAAAAAACCCGTACCTAATATTGCACAAGTGAAAAAAATATAGTCTGCATATTTTTCTTCAGTTTTCTAAGGAAAACTCTAAAAACTTTGAACTGTTCTTCAAACTGTCATTCTGGAACATTTTTCAGTACTGGAGGTGATAAACAAATAAAACCATCTTATCCTACTATCATATATAGTAGTGGAGTTATAGAAATCTACCACTGCTTACAAACAATGAAATCATATAAACAAAAGGAAACAAACTGGGTTATGAAACTGTGTTTGTACCCATAGGAAAGAAAACAGCGTGCTTATATTCTGGAAATGATTGCTTTCAGGAGAATATATGCAATCCTTGTGAAATGTCCATTATAGAACTATTCTTCTTGTTGAGGGTTATTTCATGAAATGTTTGGGATTAAAAAAAGAAAAAAAAAAAAAAAAAGGATCAGCTTGATAAACCAATGTATAATTTATTGCTGAAGAACACCAGAAATCCTGGTGAGACAAATAGCTATTAACCTATAAAAAGTAGTGAATGACATAGATTTAAGAAAGTGTACACTTAATGCCAAAAGCCACAATGTTAAGTTTAGAACATTTTCCACCAGTATATCCTCAGTGTAAAAAGTTGCTCTTTAATTTGTCACTGAATCTAACATTTATTCCCAGGCTATCTATAGGCTGTGATGTTAATCAGTTTTAATTGAGGAAAGCTTATGGGCATGGCCTAACTGCTCAAATTATAATGAATTCTCAGTTATTTAACTCTGTTAAGCCCAGTATTTTCCCCTGTATTTTTGCAAACCTTTCCAATGCGGTTTGATGAATTAAGAAGCTGGATACACAGAGTGGGATCCAAGTTTTATGGACCTTTTCTAAATAGCTATAAATATTATCTGAATAATCTGTGGTTGCCTGGAAACTCCTTCACGCAGTTCCAGGTAGTGTGAGCTAGATTGTTTTGGTCCTCTAAACAATTGGACTGGGGATGCCTTCTTTGTATACAGCAGTAGGCTCTGCTTTCAGAGTGTTGGTGGTATTGTGATATACATGGTTTTGTGGGCA